GGGGGGGGGGGCGGGACAAGAGGAAGGGAGGAGCAGGAGGAAGGAGAAGAGGAGCAGGAGGAGGAGCAGAAGGAGGAGACTCACTCTGTAATCGTCTGGCTCCGTGGGGAGAACGTGGCGCTTGGTTCAGCAGGCGAGGGTCTCATCCTGTTCAAGTCGAGCCGCGGGACTTTGGCGGCGAAGTGGAGACTGAGGGCAAGAGGGGCGTTGGGGACGGGAGGGTCCGGCCAGGTCTGATCACCCAGTTTGTCGTCCTGTGACGTCTCATGCGTCGTCTCTGTGGAGATCTCTGGGGTGAGAGTGTTCTTGGATACGTTGAGGCTGCTGATTTCACTCACTCCCGACCTGTCGGGCTCCCTGCTCTGCATGACTACGTCTGAGGTAGAGGATCGCCGTCAGAAGGTCGCAGGTTTAACGAGCTCGCCGCACCTTTGCTGGACATGTCGTCTTCCATCATGTCAGATTCTTCAGCGTTCTGTTGAAGTTCTGGAGCTTCCATGGGTTGTGCTGTCAGAGCATGTCAACCACAAGCAGCTCACGCTCAGTTCAGTCCCACCTGCCTCCCCCCTACGATTCTCAAGTGAAGTGATCCTTTCCTCCAGCGCCCGGAGTTTCGCATCTTCAATTCCGTTTTGCTTTCTCTGAGTAGTTCAGCATCACCACTCTTCCCTTCTCTCCTCCTCTCCCCTTCTTCCATTCTTTCCCCTCTCCTCTGCTCCCCTCTCTCCTCTCTCGCTCCCTCACCATCTCGAGCAACTTCGCATCCGCCATGGCAGGAGGAGGGCTGTCTAACTTGGGCGAGGTTCGCGCTAGAGGACCGGGAGACGTGGCTCGCAGCATCATCGTTTTGCTATCGAAGAGGAACTGCTGGGCTCTGGCTTGCATATAGATGACATTATCAGGAATAACAAGTTCAGTTGCCGTCTCCCTCCTCTCCTCCTCTGTCGGTTTCTGCGTCTGCACGGGAGGAGAAGGCTTATGCTCCTCATGGTTGGTCCCGACATCTTCCTGCGTGCAAGGAGGTCAAGAGGAAGGAAGAGGTAGGAGGACGAGGGACATGAGGACGAAGCACGAAGAGGAGGCGATGAAGGATCAAGGAAACAAGGAGGAGGAGGAGGAGGAGGAGGAGGAGGAGGAGGAGGAGGAGGAGGAGGAGGAGGAGGAGGAGGAGGAGGAGGAGGAGGAGGAGGAGGAGGAGGAGTCGAGCTACCAATCCGCCTTTCCTCAGAAATCTCCTGCCGTCTCTGAGAGGACTCGAATTTTCTCGTGGCACTTGCGTGTTCGAACTATTTGACAGCACTGGTCGATGCTTGCGTTCCGTCTGTCATCTAAATGTGAGCATGGAGGAGGTAAAGGAGGAACAACATTCAAGCTAGGAGAAGGGGAGGGGAGGACGAAGTGCAAGAGCTAAGAGCACGAGGACGTGGAGGAAGAGGTCGTGAGAAGGTAGGGAGGAGGAAGATGCTGTGGAGGAGGAGGGAAAGTAGATCGCCTACCTGCGATCCACTGGGATAACTCGGAGAGTACATGTCGTTGAACGTGGCGATAGCCATCCTCCCTCGGGGGGGCGTATAGCGTCTGGGAGAGGAGGACACGGTCTGGTTGACTGTCTCCTGATCATCTGCAAGCTCAAGGTCCGACGGTCATCAATCTGAAATCTCGCAGCAAGGAGGAGGGACCTCTGTGCAGGATGCGCTTGCAGTGCCTGAGGAACCTGCGCTGCTCTGCCATGGTCATACCAACCTTGCTGAGACGGAACAGGCTGATGCTGTCTTGCCCAACCCGCCACAGCCTTCGGACGTCCTCTAGCCTGGACACGGCGAAGAGTTTGACTAGTCGGTCGGTGAAACCTTCTAGGCCCACATCCTGCAAGGAAACCCAAACGAGTCGATGGGCTGCCTGGAGCTGAACGAGAGAGTGAGAGGAAGGCAGAAACAGATGGAATGTTATCTTGCAAGGATCTGTTTACAACATCCCCAAGGACTACAGTGCTTCTATTGCTTGTACTCCGTCCAGTTCTTCTATCTTCGTCCTTGTCCTCTGACTCCTCCTCTCCCTTCCATCTCCCTTCCTCCGTTCTTCTGCGAGACTCTCATCTCACCTGATCTGTCGCCATCGCCAACCTGGCGACCGAGTCCAATCACAGGGGTCACTTATTTACCCTCATCCCCGCATATGTGTTTCATCGCCCTCTTTCGCACAGGGTTCTTCCGATAAAGTTTCGCGCGCTTTTCTGCTTTGCATGTCGGCGGCAGGGGGGCAGGGGAGCGAAGAATGGGAGATGATGGCGGCAGAGCGGGAGGCAAGGGACATGCTAGAAGCGGATGCAACATGGTGAGAGGTCCACGAGCGCAACCATTCTTCAACATAATCTCGTACTCCTGCTGAGCACATTCCGCGACGCAGCTTGCTGTAATGACATGCTTCCGTTGGAAACCTCGTCCGCCGGATCCGAACCACTTCCGATCGACGTTCTTTAGAGACTGGCAGGGGTTGGAGAAGTATTCTTCGATAGAGTTCCATTCCTCCTTGTTCCAAGACAACAACTGCTCTCAACGGCTCGAGGATGCGGCATCTGCCTTCTTTCGTGTCAATGGTGATCAACAACGTCATGATTCTTCCTGACACTCCATGTGCAGGATCTGCGGGCAGTCAGGAGCTTTCAAACTCCAAGGCGTCGAGCTCGAGCTCTCAGCAGCATGCATCCAGATCTCAGAGCATAATCCCCAACTTCGACATATCGGAAGACGAGTCGGATGAAGAACATGCAGCCAGCGATGGCGATGAATGTGAGTCTCTGTTCTAGAACACAGATGCAGAATTCTTCATTTCTCTTCCTTTGCTCACTCCATCTGTTTTGACATGTTCAACACTTGCACATCCTTGATTTTAGTTCAATGCAGGCCAAGAAATTAGTGATGTTGCCGCAAAGGCCTCAAACTTGGAAGGATTACCCGATAATGATGAAATGCAAAATGAGACAGACCATGTTGACAGAGACTTGATAGAGTTGCCGTCTAACCACTACGAAGATGTCTTCCGCAATGCTGCAAATGCGTCTTCAACCAAGTCAAACGTTTTTCAGCCAACCCTTGGCCAAGTTTACTCTCAAACAGCCGATCCGTGGGAGCGATGTGCAGTCTCTATTTCAATGCAACGTGATCTGGAAACATTCAACGTAGACTCCCATAATTCGAAACGATCAGGTGTGCCAAGTAAAAATTCAACGCCAGACCTGTCAAGCTCCAAATCAAAATCAAAATCAAAGAAGAAATGTTCAGAGTGCGGGCAATCGGGACATACGAAGGCCAAATGTGACAAAGTCAATAGCAAGAATCATACTACCCAGCCCAACATTTCGTCAAAAACGAAGAAAATGTGTACAGAACTTCTGGGGAAGAAACAAAGTGTGAAATCCAAGTCGCAAGCTCCAAACCTTGACATCAGGCAACAGTTGGAGGACTTGAACAAGTTCTGCACAAATATTGGCATGGTAAGTGCAGAACGACTCGAGGATATATATCAAAGTTTTCACCAGTCTCCTGCGATTTCATTTGGGATTCTGTACGATAATTTTGAAACGGATATACGGAACTCATACAAAAAAAGCGAAACAAGATCGTGCCTCGCAATCCTCTTCTACGTCGCCGGAGACAAATTGGAACCAAAGCTGAAACGAATCTTAGTTCCGTTGAGGGACGAAATTAGATACTACAATACTTTGCAGGATAGGACTCTTTTTCTGCAGAAAGTGTTCAGTCCACAAACAAAATGCCGAATTTACAGTTACAATGTCAAAGCCAGTTTGCTGCACATTCTTCCCAAAATTGATTCTCATGGCATTTTGGGAACTGAAATCTTTTGTTTATCAGTAGGGCATTGGCTGATGGACCCTGACTGCAATTTCGATAAGATTGATGTCACGCAATTAGCAGACAAATATTTGCCAGATTGTGATGTTTCTGAAGACGATGCTGAGAGCGAATTCAACATTTTTGGTAACCTTTCAACATGCCTATCCATAGGCAAGGAGGTCCATTCACGACTGATGATGCGTGAAATGGCTAACGCAACAAAAGAAGAGATGGATTTCATTCTTGTCCTTTGCCTCATGGAAATGAACGGAATTGGTTTTTCTCCCCTACAGCTATTAGATCAGAAACGCAAGATGGAAAGGAAGCTCATCGAATTGGAGGAAGAAGCCACAAAACTTGTAGGTCATCCCGTCCTTTTAAGCTCCCCTCAACAGCTTTGCTCTGTTCTTTTTGAAGAGTTAAAGTTGCCACCGCCTAATCTAAACAACAATTCTACAATGAAGTTCAAAGGCGCCAATCAACAATACTCAACAAACGAAGAAACTTTGCAATCTTTGATCAATCTTCATCCGCTACCTGCAATCATACTCGAACATCGTACTGCTCTGTGCCGTGTCTGATCTCTACTGATATTCTCTTGCCAGGACACATCTGCAAAATGCTGCAAGGCTTTGTGGTTCCCCTGTGTGATCGTGCTGTGAAATGCCCACAGGGAAATACAGTCAGCTCGATATTTTCCTCTTGGAGTCAAATTTCGACTTGCACAGGACGGCTGTCCAGCTCAGATCCGAATTTACAGAACGTTCCAAAGGCAGACTCCATTCGCTTTGGAAACAGACAAGACATGACCAAGGAATTAAACATACGAAATGCGTTTGTTGCAAGGAACGAAAACGTCTTATTGGCTGCAGACTACGTACAATGTGAGCTAAGGATCATGGCACATTTCTGCAATGACCCCTCTTTGATCAAGCTGCTGAGTGAAAACAATTGTCCTTACACAGGAATTGCAAGTCATGTATTGAAAAAACCATTTGATAGCATCACGACACAGGAAAGGTCGACATTCAAGACTGTGGTATGTGGATTCGCTCTCCTTTGCATTTTGTTTCTGTCCCTTTGAATTGAAATACAGGTTCTTGGCTTGCTTTACGGGCTTGGCTGTAAAAGCCTGGCAGCAAGGTTAGGTCTATCTGAGCAAGAAGCATCAAGACACATCTCAACATTCTATTCTGCTTTCCCAAAAGTCAAAGAATTTCAATCATCCTGTCGAAATATTGTCAAAAGTAGAGGTTATGCTGTGACCCTATCAGGGCGACAAAGACCACTTGCAGACATATCTCTCAATGGCCCGGAGAACAGTGCAAAACGGGCATATGCTGAGCGACAAGCAGTAAATACCGTGATCCAAGGCACTGCTGCAGACATCATCAAAAGGGCCATGAAGTTCATTTTGCTGGATCTCAAGAAACAGGGGTTGGCAGAGACTTGTAGATTGTGCCTTCAAATTCATGGTGAGTTCCGATGGGTTGTGTTTCACGCAATGTCAGCTGACGTCTCTTTCAGATGAGCTTGTATTCGAACTACCGAAGGATCAACTACCTAAGTTTACAAAGATTATCAACAGAGGCATGACAGAGAGCACGACGCTCCACGTGCCCATGAGAATCAAATTCAGTGTAGGAAGCACATGGGGTGAAATGAGTGAATTGGACGAACAAGCGCAAGAACCGGCTCCATCAAAGCAGAGCAATTCTTGTGTAGGTGAGGGAGACGTCGAGACTTCTCAGCACAGCATGGAAGTGCCAAAGGATCCGTCACAGACTGAAGGGGTCAGAGCTTCTGAAACGTTTCCACCTTGCACTTTGACACTTTCCTCTAATTCTTCAAAAGAAGTGACGAAGACTCTCGCATCTCAGCCTGGCCTGAAGACAAATCTCTTTCGAAGCGCATTCCCTACAGTTTTGAAAGAGAATATCCCCATAGGCCATGCTAATGAGAAGCGGAAATCGGAACACCTGGATCGAATAGATCAGATTTTCAACTTTGGACCAAACAAGAAAAGAATTTTGCTGCAGAGCATGGAAGATGAGTGTTTGGACGAGGATGATGCCATTTTCTGTAGAAAAGACTACTCTTTCGCATCGCAAAAGAATTCGAGCGAGCCTAACAGACCATCCGGTGACGTGGCCAGGCCGATATCTGCCAACACCTCGCTAGCTGAAGGAATAACGACTTCATTGCCGACGAAAGGTCTCTTCCCCTCGTCTGCTGCAATGCTTGAAAAGCCTCAAGGCTCTGAAGGTTCAAACTGTTGAAGTGATATTGAGAGCTGATCATTGTGTACAGCACAAGAGAAAGGGACTCCAGGCAACTTGAATGCGTTAGGGGCAATCGCAAGACATGGATTGTGAGTCGAAAGTGGCAACATGTTTGTCAGTGAGAGATTCTTGCAGAAATCTGAAACCTTTGGCTGGTAACAAGCTTGCTGGTAGCTTCTTCTCGCACAAGGTAAGGTGCCAATGCTCAACTTCCTTCTCTAACGGCCTGTAGCTCTTCGAGAACAAATCCCTGGCATCGTCGCTACTGGACGACGACGACACCGATCAGCTGGTGAGGAAACATTGCTTGCTACTCAAGTCTTGTTGTCAGCGTGACATGATACAAACGTGTTTCATAGGAAATCTAATGGGAGGGATTCGCTACCAATCCACAACGGCGCATCGAAGGGATTGGCACTATTTTATATAGATGTCTCAGTAGGAAAAATGTAGAGGGTTCCGTCTCATCTTCGGCTCCATTCCGTTTCTTGATTGTCATCTTGAAGCTAAGGTAGAGTTTACCTCTTCTTGTTTCCACCAGACCGAGATCTCGAACGGTTTCCTCTCCTACACGACGAGTCATTGACCAAACATCCGGCGAATCGACGAGACAAACCTGGATCTGCTTCTGGATCGAGACCTTGAGGAGGAGGAGTACGAGGAACGAGAAGAGCGAGAGGAGGAGCGAGATCGCCTGCGAGTATGAGGATTCACCACACGCCAGACCATGAGGTCAGTTGAATCACCTTCTGCCCCTGGACCTGGAACGGCTGGACCTTCTGGAGCGGGAGCGGGAGCGGGAGCGGGAGCGTCGAGGGCGATACCTTCCCCTGGGCGAGGGGCTTCGTCTGCGAGATTGTCAGGGAGTCAAACAGCTATGAGGAACAGACACCTTCGAATGGGACTCCTGCTCCTCCTCCTGATGGGGCTCCTTCCAGGCCCTCCAGGCCCACGATAACGACCAGGGGGGCTGCGACCGGGAGGGCTGCGACGTCTGAGAGGAGGTGAAGGTCTCCTGCCAGGAGGTCCTCCCCTGCGAGGAGGAGACATTCTGCGTGGCGGCGGGCCCCTGCCACCACCTTGTCGAGGAGAGTTTCTCCGTGGGGGGCTGTGACGGTTCGGAGGGCTTGCCCTTCGCTTAGGAGCCGAGCTCATGAAGCGCACCGAGACCACGTTCCCATCGATCTGAGAGCCATCCATGGCCGCGATTGCCTCCTCCGCCTCCTCGCGCTTCTCATACTCCACGAAACCTGTCCCGGTGGGCAGGTTGGACCGCTCGCTGAAATCGAGGCTGGAGGTCTTGATCTTGCCGAAAGACTCGAAGATCTCCTTCAAGTGAGCCTCTCCCACATTCCTTGTCAGGTTCTCAACCGTGACCTTGGCAAGCGTCGGAGTCGACTCCCGCTTCCTCGAGACAGGTGACTTAGACCTCTTAGTTCTATCCCTCCCCCTGGAGCTGGAGCGATTCGGCGATCGACTACGTGAGGGCGAGCGAGGCATCGTTGCTCAGCCAGTCCACGTGCTGATTCACTCTCGGGTCTTCTCCCACGCTCTACCACACTCCTGCCTGCAAGAGACGGTCAGAAGCGCGACAACTCAAGCACCGCTCGGGATTCTCCGTGACAAAACAAGAACCCCTTCAGAAAGTTGCTACTCCACTTACTACACTACAAGATTTTCGTGAATCGGGATTTCTTGATGATTATAACATACCCACCTTCCAAGTCTACAACATCCACTGTATCTTCCGCCTATCCACTCGTCGATTCACCGCCAAAATTTCCCGCGCTCTGCACGATCCTAAATTTCCAGCCTCACCCCATCCACAACGTCGACACAGTTTCATCTTCGTTCCTCCTCATCATACCTGAAACCATTCTTCTAACACGATAATATCTTTTCTCCTCCTCTCCTCCTCCTCCTCCTCCTCATTCTCCCATGCCATTTCTTTTCCCTTCCGTGCATGCGCGCGCCCTGCGTCCTCTGCTAGTATTGAAGAATTTATAAAAGGGGTACAATAATTTCATAATATTTGGTAAAAATCGTATTTATGCATTGTTATTTCGTAATTACACCAACATCACCTGAGGAATATTGAAGAAAAAATTGGAAATTTGTACAAAGGATGAGATCGAAAACACCCTGCCGGTTAAAGAATGTGATGGAAGAGCTATTGGACGTGTCCTCATGAAATTAAGTGATGAATTTTCAAAAACAAAGGTTCCTTTCAGATTATTAATCCAAATGTAAAACATTCTGAGGGGGGCCTGTGTCCCCAATGACCCCCTCTTCCTACTCCTAGTACCCCTGAATGTCCACCCCCACCCACCCCACCGCTCCTCTACACAAGTCATAATCCCCCCCTCAGTCATTGGGCCCGCCTCAATTCTGTGTCGGGGGGAACACGACTATGGCTGTACGGCTACCCTATCACCTCCTCCTCCTCCTCCTGTCCCTGTGCTCCTGCGATGCTCTTGTTGGTGAAGAGTTGGCTTCCTCCGCTGTATCCCTCCCTCCTGTCCGAATCATCAGTCCCCAGGAGGGAGAAGAGCTGCTGCTGGACGAACGTGGTCAGGTCGAGTTCAGGATCGGAGCAGGGAATGTGGGAGAGGGCGAGGACTCGTCGTCTTCATCATACAGAGGAGGGTTTGCCCTCTACCTTGACGGGGTGTTCGTCCAGTCAGAATCGCTGCCTCATGCAGGAAACGAGTTCATAGGAAAAGTTCCTCTTGGGGAGGGCAGACGCTGCGGGCAATGGCACTTCGTGGAAGTTGTGCTGGTCGATGAGGAAGGATGGAAGGTAGGAGCGACGGTTAGCATGAGGGACTGATCAACACCGTCGCAGGTGGAGGGAGAGGGGTCGTCAGTGTGGGTCAGTTTCAAGTCGGCATGCAGCGAGGGCGGAGGAGAAGACAGGATTAGGGAAGAGGAGCGGAGACGAGTGTTCCAGCATGTCTACAACACGTACGGATGGGATTCAGAGCTGGAAGGCACGAGAGAATCACGATCAGGGCCAGGTTCGTTGTAGTTCCTTGAGCAACGACGGGGGGAGATGTCGATGATATGGATGTGGCGAACAGGTTCCTTTCTATCTCGTACAAACACCTCAAGATCGTTCCTCGCTGACGTCATAAAACGGTTGCCTTCTTGTCTTGCTGACTTCCTGTCCTACTGTCTGCCTGTCTGCCTGTCTTCCTGTCCTGCTATCTTGCTGTGTTGCTGACTTCTTGTGTTGATGACTGATTGAGCCTTTGGTTCCTTGGACTGAACTCTGAAGAGCAGGTACAACATCACATCGGTGCTGGATGCTGGTTGTGGGGATCTGAACTGGCAGGTTTGGGTGAAGTGTGTTGAGACATGTTTGATTCAAGATGCAGAAGCACGTGGAGGAGTTGAGAAATGTTGAATATGTTGGTGTTGACATCGTTCCGGAGCTGATTGAGAACAACAAGAAGCAATTCAAAGAGTGGAAGAAGATGAGATTCGAGGTGCAGAGGAGTGTTGTTGTTGTGAACGTTACTTGTTCCTTGACTTTTCATCTTCCGTGGATGGTTCAGACAATGGATATCGTCAGGGAGCCTATCGGCCGATCTTTTGATCTGATCGTCTGCCGTGATACTCTCTTTCACCTGCCTGTTTTCGACGCTGTACAGGTGATATGCGATCATCATCATCATCATCATCATCAACAACAACAACAACAACAACAACATCATCATCATCATCATCATCATCATCATCATCATCATCATCATCATCATCATCATCATCATCAATCACCCTTATTGTAATTATCTTCATCTAGCTACAATGTTTGATTTGTGCGCTCAGGCTTTGAAAAATTTCGACGCGAGCAAGTCGAAATTTCTCCTCTCGCACTTTGACGAGGAACTTACGAGCAATTGGCCGGTGAGAAAGGCGACGAAAGTGAGAGGTTGACGAGGAGAAAGTGGTTATGGTAGTGAGGAGTGAAATCATTAGAGCAGAGATGATACAAATTCTTGAGACGACCCTTCAATGATATCCACGATGATGACGATGATGATGCAGGACATCAAGGTCGGGGGTTGGCACCTGATCAACCTGCTCGAAGCTCCCTTCAAACTTTCTGCTCCTGTTGAGATGGTCGTCGAGAAAGGTCGGACACCTCCACTGCCTCCTCCTCCTCCTCCTCCTCCTCCCTCCCTCCCTCCCTCCCTCCCTCCCTCCCTCCCTCCCTCCCTCCCTCCCTCCCCTGCTCGGCATTCCCCTTGTTCCCTTCCATCTCTCTGCATGACAGCGACTGTCTGCAGGGCAGGACGAGCAGTCGAAGGTGCAGAACCACTACGGACACGCGCGCAGGCTGGCTCTGTGGAAGCTGCCGGCGATGAAGCATACGGGGGAGGCGACAAGATGCCAAAAGACGAGGAGAGAAGGTCCCTTCCCTCCTGTGCAGGCTGGTCAGCATGCTGAGAGTGCTGGCAGCAGCGAGTCCAGGGGGAAGGAGCGTGACGGAGACGATGAGGAGGCTGAAGGAGTCGGGGAGGGAGAGGAGATGCCTGCTCGCTCAACCCCTGTCGGGAGGGAGCGCGTCAACCGCTGAGCCGACGGACCTCGTGAGTCCCAGGATGCGAAAGTTGCTGGCTGATGAGAAAGTTGGCAGGTGATCTGTGACGAGGGTGCGGCAAACAAGACGGAAGGATGTGATTTCCTCGTCTCCTCCTCTGGGTTCAGCTTCCGAGGGGAAGTAGCAAGAGCAGGAGCAGGAGCAGGAGCAGGGTGGGAGAAAGTTCATTTTTCTCAGATCGCCTCTTCTTCTTTCTCCTCCCCCCTTGAGGGACTTGTTGGCAGAGTCTTCCACCAATCTCATCCTTCTCCTCTAGCCCTGCAGCAGAAGCTGCTCTCCCTCCTCCTCTCCAGGTGGCTGAGCTGCTCCCCTATACTGCTGCCGAGCAACTTCGTCCTCCCCTCCTCTTCAGAGCATGCTGCGCTTAGAGAAGTCTTGGAAGAGACCTGGAAGGGAGGACAGTTTGTCTTTCACCTGACCTCTACCTCCTCCCCTCCCTCTCCCGCTGACCTTCTCCCTCCTCTCTCCCCCTCCGCTGCCTTCTTTCAACCTGCTCCTCGCTCGGTCAACGGGGCCATCGTCTGCATCATCCCTGCTCGTTTCGGCTCTCAGCGCTTCCCCGGCAAGCTGCTGGAAAAGCTCAAAGGCAAGACGGTGCTGGAGAGGACATGGAGGAGGGCGGGGCATGCGGAAGCATGCAGGGAGCTGGTGGTGGCAACAGACAGCAAGGAGATCATGGAGCACGTGCGGTCGTTCGGAGGAAGAGCCGTCATGACGCGCTCCTCGTGGAGGAGCGGGACCGAGCGAGTGTACGAGGGCTGGAGACTGCTGGAGGACAGCTGGAGGTTTGAGTACGTCATCAACGTGCAGGGAGACGAGCCGCTTCTCAACCCCGCGCACATCGACGCCCTCGCAGAGCAGCTGCGACAAGGGTCAGTTGAAAGAGGAGGAGGGAGGGGGGGGGGGGGAGGAGCAGGAGCAGGAGCAGGAAGGAAAGGAAGAGGAAGAGCAGGAGGCACGAGGCAGAGAGGCAGAGAGGCAGAGAGGAGATCAGCAAGGAGGAGGGTGGGGAGGAGGAGGTGGGACAAGTGGAGGAGGCTTGAGCTGATCTTTGTGACCACAGCAAGCATGACATGAGCACTCTCGCTATCCGCATCTCCTACGAAGAAGCTTCGAACCCTGGAGTGGTGCTACTCTTCCTCCTCCTCCTGCTCCTCCTCCTGCTCCTCCTCCTGCTCCTCCTCCTGCTCCTGCTCCTCCTCCTGCCTTTCCTCTCCCAACCACCTCACGACGAACACCATCACCATCTCC